TCCCCCCCTCTCCCCCGCGCCGCTGTTTCTCAACCGTATCCAGTGGGTGAGGCCTTCGCCAGGGAGAAAACACCTTGACTGTGAAAACAGGAGGGCTAAATCCGTGGTGAGGATAATCCTGTTTGGCCCCTTTTGTTTGCACACAGGGAGTGCGAGGGATAGGGAGGATGATGGGAATGGGGCGATGCGAGAAGCCCCTGGCCGCCTTCCCGGGGACCCCCCCGTTCACAGAGAAAATGCTTAGTAAATGTGAATGAATCTTGGAGCTAATAGGAGAAACCAGCAGGTTTTGGCTGCTAGTTGGGCTAGGCTGCTAGTTCGGCTGCTGCTCCACCGCAGGGATGACCACAGCGTTGTGCTCGGCACCACGTTCCTCGCCTGGTCTGAAGCTGCGATGAGGGGTCACTGCCAACGGTTACGTCTCTTGCACAACCCTATTGACTTGTTACCGTGCCCTCCACGGTAGGCCTTGATATTTCTGTCTGAGGCAAAATATCTGCTAAAGGAAATTACTGGCAGACAAGGCTTTTCGATTGCATCAGAGAGAAGTAAAGTTTTATTAGAGTCTTTTTTATTTTCCAGAAGAACGCCAATCACGGCAGAGATTCCCTCAGGAAACAGAGATGAGGCACAGAAACACAGGTGGCAGAAGCAGTTGGGTCATCCGGAGCGTTGGCGTGAGCCGCTTGCAGTGACTGTGTTGGGTAACTCCAGCCCTCCACAAGCCGGGGCCGCAGGGTCCCTTCTGCAGGGCGGCCTGCGGGTTTTGCCCCTCACTTCTCCGACTTCCTAAAACTCCCTGTAGAAAGATGAAGCAAAAAGATGGCTTGAAGGAAAAACTAAGGTCTCCATCAGCATCCTTAACATTATGATTATTCCAAATTACAGTGTGTGCAGTTCTTAGTGGACTAGATTTTCTCCCAGCCTTCTGGAAAGGCCGGAGCAAGGTGCATGTGCGGTTGCAGCTTTATAATGTTTATAAATTTATAATGTTAAATACATGGACCTGCCTCTATTTTTTCTACATTTTCAGACTTTTTTTTTCTTTTTGAATGGCCAGGACTTGGAGCCTTACCCGACTTCATGGTTTTTATGGCTTCAGTCACTTCTTCCATTGTTGCTCCTCTATCCAGTGTATTCCCTTCCAGGCAGAGCTTCGAGGAGCCTCCTGTAACCACAGCCATAAAACTAGACTTGGAGAAGACTTTCTGCTCACTCCCCATCTGCTTTTGCTTTGCTGCTTTAGGACTTTAGCAGCTAATAATTCCTATAATTTAAATGTCCTAATAGATTAAGTATTTTTACCAATGCAGTGTGTAACATTTGGCTTTATTCAGAAACTACTGACTTCCCTGGTTCTCCAAGTGCTTGGCCTGCACATTAGCTGCTTCCCCACTGCTGTGTTAGCAGAATCTCACCCGAGGGCTTGTTCTTCTCTTCAGACACGTTTTGTCCTTCCACAACCCTCCCACACACCCTCCCAATCCTCCTCTTCCCGTTTTTGCAAACACTATGGTGTTAATATGGCAACTGCATGGCAGCGAAAACCAACAGGAAAAAATCTCCAGATTTCCAAATGAGGACGGAAGTTTGTGCATCCTTTCCCGCTATTCCGAGAGCAGAGTCAATGTGAGGGGGCTCTTCTGCTCGGTCCTTACCTTGGTTTTCGCCGGAGCTGCCGGAAGATGAGGAGTGGGAGAGGCAGGGCTTGCCCCGTCCCCCCCCGGCGCTGCCGCCGCCCCCGCCACTTCTTGCTCCGCTCTCTCCTCCGCTTCCATGGCTTTCCTCCACGGATCTTTTCCCGCTGCTTCCTCTACCCCAGCACCAACTGCTTCCTCCTCCGTGGCTTCCTTTTCCAGAAGAGCCGCCGGTTCCTCCATGGCTTCCTCCTCTGGCAGAGCCGCCACCAACTCCTTCTCCTGAGCTGCTGTAAGGGGGAAGAAGCGGTCACGGATACGGTTTATCACGACAGGACATATCCGACATCCCAGTGTCCTTCTCCGAGCTCCTTGCACGGCTGGGAAGGGGCCACTCCAGAGCTGGGTATAAGCTCTGCTCTCCGAGCACAGGGGAACGGGATTGCGCTTCCGAAGGAGGAAAGGAAGGAGAGGGAATGACTTTGCCTTGAGCATTTAGAAGGTGCAGTTCTTACCTTGCCCAACATTTTCATATATAACTTTGTATTTCCTGATTATACTTATGAGAGGAAATGGCAATTTATAGTTCTAGATACTCCTCCAGACACATTGGCCCAGTTCATAATGGCCAGCTCAGATTTAGCACAGTGTGACTTCCTGAGACTGTGCTAAATGTATTGACCATGAACCAGTCCTTGCACCAGCTCTTCACATATTGCTGCCGCTTCCACCTGCAGCCCTTTGCAAGGATGGCACGTGAACCCCTTCGAATGTACGTACGTGATATTCTGCTGTCCCTCGTGCAGCAGGGCCCGGTACTGCGCGATCTCCTGCTCCAGGCGGGTCTTGATGCCCAGCAGCATCTTGTACTCCTCGTTCTGGCTCTCCATCTCGCAGCGGATGCTGGCCAGCTCCTCCTCCAAGGGGCCGATCATGGCCTGGATCTGCTGCAGCTGCAGGTTGTAGCGGCGCTCGGTGTCCTCCAGGTTGGACTGCAGAGAGTCCACCTGAGAACGACAAACAAAATGGGCTGGTTAGGGCAATGTGCCGAGTTTGATTCATTTGGGGGAAAAATCAGAGGTTTTTCTCATGCACAGAAAAAAAGAAGAGCTTCTTTTGGACCGCGGGTAACCAGCCCCCTTCTCCCTACGGATGGGGCGATTGCAGAAGCGGCCCCGTGTCCGTGCGTGGGTCGTCGGCCTGTGTGGCCCTGCTTACCATGCTGAGCTGCGACTGCAGCTCGATCTCCAGGCTCTGGTATTGCCGGCGCAGCTCAGAGACCTGCTGGTTGCTTGACTGTATCTCCTGGCCACTTGAGTGGACTTGTTGACTCACCTCCTCGATCTGAAAAATGAATATACAGAATTGGAGTCTTTCAGTTTTACTTAGGAGGTCAATACATGAGATGTAAATAAGCTATATAGCATATAGCATACTGTTGTGAGAGAGAAATACTTATCTTAGGTTTAATGTATAGATTTCTGCTTGTGTAAATGAGGAAAATCTACATGAATATTCTAGGTGCTTTTGACTGTGTTTAAAATTAAATAGATTAAGATCTGCAGTACTTCCTACCGGCTCTGCTATCCGTAAAGAGGGATTCAGTGCTCACCTTGCTTTCGTACCAACTTTCAACCTCTTCGCGGTTTTTCTGGATAACTCTTTCATATTCTTGTCTCATATCATTCAGTTTTTTCAGGAGATCCTCTCCCGGAGCAGCATTGACTTCCACGTTCACGTCACCACCGGACTGTGCTTGCAATGATCTCATTTCCTGAAGAGAAAAACAAAAATGGAGAAATTACCCCATGAAACAGTTTGGAAAAATGACTTCCAGAGGCCGGTTCCTCTGCAATCAGCCTCTAGAACCATCTCCATCCGTGCTTGCTCTGCAGTTGGCGTTTCCAGGGGATGGCCCTCACCTCCTCATGGTCCTTCTTGAGGCCGATCAGCTCCTCCTTGAGGGACTCAAACTGCATTTCCAGGTCAGACTTGCCCAGGGTCAGGTTGTCCAGCATGGGCCGCAGCGCATTAATATCGGCCTCCACGCTCTGCCGCAGACCCGACTCCGTCTCGTACCTGTGCCGGGGAGAGCGCGCAAGGTCAGCCCTGCTTTGGGCTCCTGCTCCTAGCAGCTTCACTCCTGAACACCGTCACACATCCAGTTCTCTTCATTTCTGTTCATGCCTGTACTTTGTTACACCCAGCATCTCTCAGGCAGCAGAGTTACGAAAGCAGCGGCCAGAAGCTAAAGTTTAACATTTACAAGTTTTATATGGACTTTTTTGCCCTTCTCCTCACTACAGGCTTTGGGCTGGTTTCTTGTCGCTAGATTGACATTTTTGTACAGAGTGAATTCATGCAAGCTGAGGAAAGTAGGAAAAAGGAAGCCAGTGCCTGGGAAAGAGGAATATGCATTTACTTCATCCTGAAGTCTTCGGCGGTCATGCGAGTGTTATCCAGGTCCAGAAGGATCCTGTTAGTTTCCACGGCTGCGGTCACAAGCTAGAAGAGAAGACAACAAGCTGAGCACCGTGGAGGTCTCTAGGCTTGCCCGAAGGACACGAATGTGAACGTGGTCTCCCTTGATAACGTCGCGTGACGGAAATGGCAATTCCTTCCTTCCTAGGAAGGTCATGTGCAGCGCAAAGTGGTGCCTCCATGAAAGCAGCACTAGGAATGTGGAAGCTGTGGGCTCGGGAAGGGTCCC